TAGTGAAATGTCAATTGTTTATGCCGGCATTAGGGATTTTTATCTTGACAGAGGTGAAGCTTGTAGATGGAAGTAAGGTCACAACAGCAAGATGTGGGAAGCACTGACCTATATAATTATAGAGAACTGCTCTCTCCTTCAGCAGTCAGGGAAAACAGACAAAGTGTTTCTTCTATTCCATGAGGAAAATGGGTGAAAGCCTCAAGTTCAGCAGATACCTTCAAGTCTAAATTATTTTGCCAGAAAACACACAGGACTGGCACATGCTGTTACAAGAGCACGGGACTTCAGTTGCGCAGGTTTTCCCTCGAGGGCCAGCCCAGACCATACTGGAGGGAAGAGGAAAGAACACCATTTTTTTCAATTTTATCCTATTTTTTACCTTTACATTTGATTATAAATAAGGACTTGTGGTGCAGAACAATGGCCCACAGCGGGCATCGCATACTCTGCCCTACAATAACAGCTTGACAAGACTCAAAACATTAGATGAGGGCAGGCATATACATGATGCAGGCAGCTACTGAGGTAGGAGCTACACTTCCACCTTCATGTTAAAAATGTATCAGAGGAAGAAAAAAAAAGTCAGCTATTCAGAACTTTTCCAGGCTATGCAGAGCAGCAGGAACAGATCTCCAAATTCTCCCTGTTAGGCTGTTATGTAAAAAGTAGAGTGCTTACAAGTTAAGTGGAGTGACACATAAGGTTGTTCTACTTTATACTGTGACTATATACTGAAGATTTGTCTTTCTTCCCACTTGTTTCCTTGTGGAAAAATATAACTGAGCCTATCGCTAGTTAGCTGAATTGAAACTGCATGGTTTAAGGGACCTCCCCTTCAGACATCCCTCCTGCCCCACTCCGAGGAGTGCCTGTCTGTGGAAGATGTTTGTGGGGAGGATTCTGGCAGTGCTGCAGTTTCCACTGTAGCACATTAAAGAACAGCTCATCTTCCATATGGTTGTCCCTCTGGTGCAGCACTGACATCCAGGGCAGAGACCGGACGAAATGTCATGGCAACATCTTCAGGTGTTACTCACCTCAGGTTATCTCCAAGAAGCAGAAGACTTTGCACTTTAAAAGAAGTAATTTCTCTGTGTGAAAGGCTTTAAACTAAAGGTGCAAAGCTTGCATAATTGCTAACCAATCTAGGTTTCTCTTGACTAGAAGATTTTATTGGCAAATCCATACCAGGAGCAGCTTTTATATGTGCATCATTACAAACATCCATCAAATTAAAAAAAAGTGCCCCCTTTCTTTTTGATCACACATATTCTTTGTAAATATACTGACAGACAGTCTAAGTTGCCATACATCACTTACATCATAAAAAATAAGACCAAACCAACCCTCCCCACCACTCTTTAAAGATACTCCTAGAAGTTACCTTCACATGAAAGGGAAGGCTAATACTTTCATAACCTACCATTAAGGAAAAATATACATATATTTATAGATGTGAAAAAATAGAAGTTGTATGGGAGTCAAGATAACAAAATAATAAGTTCTCATAAGCCTCTCCTGTTATAATACAAGTACCATAACACTTTTTTCCTCTGCTTTTCTTTCTATAGACAAAACCTTTGAACAGAAGGACAAAGGAAACACATCCAAATACATGGACATTTTTCAATAAACTCTTTTAAGGGATATTCAAACAAACTAGGCCAGAATATCTGCCTGTCCCCTAGAAAATATTCCATTTCATTGTACCATAATCTTTAATTAAGTACATCATATCAGAAATTCAGTCAGGGTTCTGACCACCACTGATGAAGCACAAGAAGTATATTAGAAAAGTTTACTAATCAAAGCAGCAGCTGCAGCATCTCCTACCCTTGTCCAATAACATATCCCAAGAGACTCCAATGTGGGCCATTTTCAAATATATTTATTACATTGCACATAGGAGTAGAACCAGTGCAAATGAGCTACTCAGTGAATTAGTCGATGGCATGGCCACACTTCAGTAAGATGTATGCACCTATTTCCACAAAATGGCTCCTCAAAGCCATGCCAGTTTACAAAGGAAGCCCTTTATTGAAAATAATAATTTTTTAAAAAGCAGAGAAAAGTTCTGAGCTGAATAATTTACATTTGCACCACTTGAAATGTCACTTTTATAACCCTGCCCCCTTGATACCAACACCTATAAACTATTGTACAGACAGGATCTGAAAAATGTCACTTGCAGTCATCAATTCTTTCAGTGGAAGGGAATAAAATGCTTCAATATTCTGTGGCTTAAGGCTATAGGTCAAAGTAAGCACCACAGCAAAAAGTCTTATTTATTTGAAAGTTTCATGCTGCAAAAATGAACAACAGAAAAAAAATCTCTGGAACTGGAAGAATTACGTGAATCAGTGGCATTTGGTTGCTGAAACACTCATTATACAAGTGTCACAAAGGACAAGCCACTGTAACACTAATTCCATCCCTATCTCCCCCAAAATAATTATAGTTTCACAGACATTCCTACCACTGACAAAAAATTCTCCAGAGGTGAAGTGTTTGTCAAGGTAGGTTGTGTGTCAAGCTTCATGCTGGAACATACTTCTGGCCTAGCTTGCAAGATCTTAAGATTAAGGCTTGGTTTAGATTTTTATTTGGATTTTTGAAGGATATCTTCCTTTATTAGGCTATAACAGAAATAATGCTGTGGGAGCATGTATTTTTCTGATACAGTTATAAGACTATATGTTGCTTCTAGAACTATGCAGAGAATTGCAATATTTTCTTCAATACAAGCTGCACTGAATGCCAGGAATCATTCCACGTTTCCACACAGAGATAAGTCATCCACCTTAAAAGTCTCTTTTCCTGCTCATATGATACTTGCCAACATCCATTTCATGGGAGCAGCTCCTGTTCCCATCCCAATGTCACATCACACCGAAAAGAAAACGCACATTCAGCAGGAAAATATCTTTCCCTAGATAAGGCTGGGGGAAGTTTTTCTAAACACCATAAAGATTCCACGTCATGAGGCGAACAACGATGTTGTCAGAAGTGCAAGGCTGGCTCACGGGCTCTTCATAGCAACACAACAGTGAGCAGCCAAAGCCTCACTAAAGGGTTTTTCGGCATAAATGCTCCTGACCTAACAGCACACAGATAAAGCTCCTGCTGAACCATCCCCTCTCAGCTCACACCACTCAGCTCCTCTGACAAAGACCCTGTGTCATTGCAAGCCACATTGCTGGAGAAGAGGGCGGGGTGAAAGAAGAGAAGGGAGGCACACAGGGAGGAAAAAAAAAATGCAGTCTACAAAATAGATGCAACCTACAATCGGTGACATTCAGTCCTTCACCGGCTTCTCATGAGATAAAGCAGCCGTACCATCTGCCTGCAGCCACAACCACCAGCAGCTTTGAGAAGGTAAAAAAAGCTGGAATGAATCTCAGCAGCCCTCCTGGCTCTCTAATAATGATCCCTGTCAACAGCCTAAATAAAGCACCCACACCCCCCAGTAACCCTCAGTATCTTACTGTAAGGCTGATTAATTACAAACCAGCTGAAAGTAACGGCAAAAAGGTACAAAACCATGAATAGAAATAAGTGGGCCAAAGGCCACACTGGAATACATGACTGTGGGTTCGGGTTCCCTAACCCTGCTGATTCAAAACAAGGAGGTAGTGCCAACACTTCATCCTCCATCTTCACCAGCACCTCACCACCCTCCTGCCCGGCTCCACTTTCACCGTTATTTGAAATAAATTAAGATTGACTTAAAACAGACTGCCTCAATACCACTCGGCCCCACAGCCCAGAGCTTTCACCCTGCACCCGCATCCACCATTCTCCATCCCGGTCCCACCATCCTCCCCTAGTCATCCTCCCTGCGCCCTCCCCCGCCCCACAGCACCATCCTCCTGGCCTCAGGCCCACACTGCCGTCCTCCTCACTCCCCCGAGAGCATCCTCCTCACCGCTGCCTCGACCCTATGCCCCGTCCCTCTCCTCAGCGCGGGGAGCCGCGGGCCCGGCTCACCTCCAGCTCGGTGTCGCCGGGCTCGGCCACCCCAATGATCTCGCTGGGCAGCTCGGCCAGGTCGGTGACCCGGATCAGCCCGTCGTGCAGGAAGATGGTCTCCTCCTTCACCGACAGCCACTGGGCCGAGTCGGTGGCCGCCGCCGCCGAGGCGCCCGCCGGAGACCCCATGGCGCGGACGGCGGGTGGGCTCCGCAGGGCTGAGGCGAGGCGGGTGCCGCTACCCTCCCATGGCGGGGGCAGGGCGGGGGCTGGCGGGTCCCCAGCGGCCTGGGTGCCGGACAGCCGGAGCGCGGTGGGGAGCAGCGAGGAGCGCCGCGTTGCCACCGCGGCACCGGCGGAACGGGGAGCTCCGGGAGCCGCCGTGCCCGCCCGCAGCCACCACGTCCCGCTCCCTCCTCACACACACAGGTGACAGCGCGACGCCATGTTGGGGGCTGAGGCGGGCCCGGCATGCACCGCGCGACGAACAATACACCCTCCCCCCTCCCGGCCCCGCGGGGCTCCGCCTCCCGCCGGGCCCGGCCCTCGGTGCCGCCCCCCGCTGCTCCGCCCCTTGTCCCCTCAGCGCCTCGTCCCGCTCCTTCGCACCTTGGGCGCCCTCCTTCACCTCTCCGGTGCCGCCCTCCTCAGCGCCTTGTCCCGCACCTTGGGCGCTCCCCTCAGCGCCTCACCTCGGCCCCTCTGCCCCACGGAATGGCGGCTCCCCTCAGCGCCTCACCTCGGCCCCTCTGCCCCACGGAATGGCGGCTCCCCTCAGCGCTTCACCTCGGCCCCTCTGCCCCGCGGAATGGCGGCTCCCCTCAGCGCCTCACCTCCCTGCACCCAAAGGCCGCTTCCCTCAAGCGCCGCACCTCGACGGTGGGGCTGTTCCCATCAGTTTCCCTCTTCAGCCCCAACTTGGATAGCCAGGGTCCCTTTGAAGCTACCCTATTCCATCGAGGACTGATCCCTCTTGGTGCCTCGTGTTCCTCACGGTAGTTTTTCCCTGCCTGACGCCTCTGGTCACCCTGCATTTTGACTGCCCTCCTCTCTTTCCAGAACGTCCTCTTTTTCCTTCCCTCATCTGCCCTCGAAGGAATCCTGTCACCTCTCCAGGGGCCTTTTCCCAAAGGACTTGTGAGCAAGCAGGTACGTCCATTAAAATCCATGCGTTATCTGTGTAATGAGGATTCCAGAAGACGTGAAGCAAAAAGGTTCCCTTCACCAAAGTATGTGTGGAAAAAAAAGAGATCTAAGCTAAAATTGACCCTTCTTTCCCCAAGCCTCTCTTAGCCATCATGATGTGCCCTTCCCCGTTTCCCACCAGTCTGATTTCACACCCGGTTGCCTCTGACCTCCAGCCCGGGTTGAGAGCAGCACCGAGTGCCACAGGCGGCTGGCCCGCAGCGTTCAGCAGAGCACACGCTTGTGAGACGAAGCACGTTAATGAGAAGGACATGAGGAGAAATGTCAAGTATTTTTAGTGTGTAATTGCTGTGGGGATTCCCATTGCAAGCAGCTGCTTTTCATGACTCTGCACAGCCGAGCGGGGATGGAGCACTGCGTTTATTTGTTTGATCAGATTAAATTATTTACTCTATTGGTGCATTGCAACGAATGTGCTGTGGTAGTGGAGGAAAAGTGTATTCAGAGCTGTAGCAAAATGAGATCTACGGCCAGTGCTTTCCATCCTATTAAATCTGGTTGGGAAGAAGCATCTTTTCCGTGTAATGGACCATTGCTCAACTTATGACCCACATAAAGTGTCTTTATAGCACTGATTCAGCTGCGTGAGCATTCATACAGTTGTGTAGTTTTACCTCTGAGGCTGGTTCAGGCAACATCAGATTCAGGTAAATTCATATGAGTGGTTGGTTGTGTGTCTGTGTGGGAGCTCAATACACTGTGTTCGGTGGGATATCACTGCCATTCATGTATTGGAGAGCTGAGGAGTCTCCAGGCTTGCTTTTATTGTAGAAATAGATATTATTTGTGCTAGAGAGTGTGATTTTGAGCAGGGAGAGTACAGAGACTTGGTATTAAAGGTTTCTGTAAGGCAGAGCCCATTGATGGGCATCTGTTATTTTTGGTCGAGACATGACACAGACAACAGCGGCTGCAGATGGACATATCCATAGATATGAAATCACCCTGAACCTCCTGCAGGATGCTAATGCTCCAAAGTGAGTCAATGCTGAGATTTAAAGTCTTTATGGCAGGTGGGACAAGGCAGCTGAGTTCCTGCAGTTGAGATAAGCTGTGCTAGCAAGGCCTCCTTTGGAGGGGTGGGAAAGATGCTGAGGTTAGATTAGTCACAATATTTCATTGCAAAATAGCGACTGGTGTTACCAGAGTAGGAGTTGTACATTGTTTTAATTCTTCACATCAGACTGGAATAGAGGAAGAAAAACACAAAGTGTGTATATGTTTTAGTGGGAGTAACACTTAAAACAACTTCTGTCTTCAGATTTTTTAGTACTGTCATGGTACTACTTGAGTATCTTCCACAAAATCAATACAAATAGCAGAGCTGAGGGTAAAATGGGATGTTCACTTCACAAGCACCACTCATGCCAGGAATGCTTGTCAACAGAAAGGATTTGCTGTGTTTTGTAGAGGTGGCCGTGTTCTGGATGTAGCTGTTGTTCTCCAAAGGTCTGCTCCATAGCCTGGGTAACCCAGGATGAAAATTCTTTGTCTCCAGCTCTCACATGCTCTTTCCAAGGCCTTCTGGACTGCTTTATCCCAGAGGAATAAGGTTGCCAGAGTAGCTCCCAGATGGAGAGTCAGGGTTTGATATAGCTGTCGATCTAATCCACTAATTGCTTTGAAATACAAACCAAGGCCTTGTATTAGAGTAAGGAGCTGACTCAGAGCTAAAAGAGAAGGATGTGGAGCTGTGGGTACGTTCATACCAGACTAAGCACAGAAAGAGCTGCATGGCTAAATAATGTACTGTCCAGAGGCTGCTTTTGTCATTGGACTGGGGTTGATGGCCAGTTTCTCCCAGCGAGGATCCTGATACAAGTGTTTTTGTGTGGTAAGTAACCTGAGCAGCCCCTGAGTGCAAAGCAGGAGAAGTGGAGAACTGTAAACTGGAGATTGTGCCATGCCAACGTTTCAGAAATCCCTTTTAGCCATATTGTGTGAAGACATCCCAGACTGATCTGAGAGCGTATTTATCACTGTATAGTTATTTATTTGCTTATTTTGAGTTCTTCTAAATTGTATTGATTTGGCAATTCAAAGTTAAAAATCAGGTATTGATGTAGTCTAATGCTGTAAACTTGATAAATGTGTCCTATCCTGCCTCAGGTAAATAAAATCATTACTAGTAAATGTAAGATTTCCTAAGTTATTTTAGGTGCTTGTGATTCAGGAATTACCAGCATTTTGTACAGTGCATGAGCTTCCATAGCATGGAATGCTGACATAGCTTTCTTCATGAAATTTTCTATGGTAGGGCCCTGCAATGAATTCAGCAAATATAATGCAGTTTGTCTGCATCTGCTGCAGAAGATGTTGTATAATATAATGGGAAAAAAATATTTTTGTTCTGCAAGTCACCAGAAAATGTCAGCTGGAACTTCAATGCAGCATTCAGAGGTACTGCAGTGACTACAAAGAAGTCTTGTACTACATTATGGGGATGGTGTAACTTAAAAAAAAAACAGACTAGAATAACTTTGTGACGCAAATCATCAAGCTGAAGACATAAACCCCTTAACTTTTAAATAAACTTGTACAGAAAACCGATCTTTTGCAGATGGGGCAACTGCTGTGGTCATGTCTGCCTGTGGTGGCCGGGATCTGGAATGAAGTTCTTGATGTGCAGGTCTGTTGACCTGCAGCAGAATGTGCCCTTGTGCTTCTCTGCCCGTCACCATTACTGAGATTTAGCAGAAGATGCTCATGGTCCTGTGAGCTGAAAATGAAAATTCACTCTTTGTACTTAGAATTGACCATTCGCACTCACATAAATGGAGTTTAAAGGAATATAGTCTCACCCTCCAGTTTAATTTTATACTAACAGCTGTAACATAGGGTGGAAATTGTTTTCATCCTAAGGCTTTGCTGTACATCCTTCTGTTAATTTAGACATGGCAGTTTCAGTTTTAATGGCCATTGTGGCATCAAGAAATGTGTGAAACAGAAGAAATAGTTGCTATTTTTATGTGGTCTGCAATAACTAGATTTCTATACCCTGAATCCTGGCTTCTCTGCCCATTACTTGCTATTTAGAGAGCCCAAATGGCATCATTAATAAGACCTGCGAGCAAGGAATAGTCGCATTTCATGGCACACTAACTGTGATTAAAAAATACAGTTTCTACATTTTTCTTTAAGTAAAACTTAGGACTGAAGTGGAAAAAAATGAGTATTTGACAGAGGAAAAAGAACAAATGACAGTGAAATAGAATAATGCCAAACTTCAGAAATGTATTTTAATTTTTAATGCTTTTAATTGCAAAGGAAAAATAGTCACATTTTTCTCATTTTGATATGTTAGCAATAATTGCTGAAGAAGACTGACTAATAGCAAGGTAGGCTTGAGGAAGAAAGAGCAAATAAAAAGAAGTTTTTATTAACATGAATAAGGATCATTTTATTATAGGAAACAGGAGTCTGAATCACCTACCTCACAAAAACAGCCTTAGTTGAATTGGCCATGAAACAAATGTAAAATACAGAATCATAATAAAAGTGCTGGAATGTTTTCTTAGAGGCAATCCAATCCTGTGTTGTGAGCCAAGCTATCACCACACTACTCGTGACGCACGCTTGTCCTGTCTGGAGGCTTCACCTGCAATCTCTTCCATTGTTGAATTGTCATTATGGCTGGGGAGTTCCCTAATGCTCAATTAAACTTGTGTTGCTGTAATTTCAGCTTTTGTAGGCACAGAGAAGAGTTTATTTCCTTCCACCGATGCGCAGTCTTTTCCCATCGTCTGCACTAAATAATCCCCATCCTTTCCCACTTTCTCTAGGCCATGTCCTTTGGAAGTCTGATCATTCTTGTGCTCTTTGGCATTTCTTCCAACTTTTCCACATCTCTCTTGAGCTGCTGGTACTTTAGATGAAGCCTTACTGGTGTGAAATGGTTTGGACAGATTCCTGTGTCTTCTGTGCAATACTTCTGTTAAGTGCCTTGGTATCATCTTTGCTTTGCAGCTGTACGATATTGTTGACTCACGCTGTGCTTGTAAATGAAATAACAACTTGGGCTTCAATTCTGTTTGTGGTATTTCACATGCAGAAACAAAGCAAGCTGGCATTTAGCATCACTCTTGCTAATCTCATGTCTCATTCTCCTACTCCAGAATTTAACGCAAGTAGCCTTTTATGGAGGGAAGTATTTAAATGCTGCCCATCAGTGAGGAAGAGTGTTTGGGAGCTCAACAGATCCCTCAGTGGTTGTCCTGAATTTCTGAATTTCTAATGTCTCAGAAGACTCATTATTAATACCCAAAAATAGGTAGGTTTTAAATACAGCTGTTCTGTACTGTTTTAAAATTCCATCTCCCTGAAAACTGGTGCAATGAAATGAGGAAAAAAATAACGAAGAAAAGTCTGCTACAACATCCTGCTCAATTTTGTAAAAATCTAAAGATAACAAGGTGGATTTATACGATTGGTATATATTATTACAAGGTCCACTTTATAAAGTGTTTCTCAGGGAGAATTTTTAAAATTAAGTGGCTTTTGTGTTTTTATTATCTTTGTCTTTTACTTGAAATTCACAGGTAAGTTCCTAGATCCTGTGAAGTCTTAAGGAACAGGTTTTCACAGGCGTTGTTGCACTAACTACCGTTTTTCCTGAGAAAAGGAAGCCAGGTCAATGAATCCCTGGCCTTAGTAAATGCTGTAGTCTATCCTGATTTTCTCTTCAATGGTGACAGGCTTTCAAAACAAACCTAAAACTGAAAGCCACTAATTGAGAACTGAAACCATGCAGCAAATTGGAATGCCTTTTGCTCTGGGAGAACAATTTTGCTGTCTGTGTGGTGTGGTTTTGCAGCTGTAAGAGCCCACATTTCCAAAGTGCTCTTCCCAGAGCACCTGTCTCCTCTTCCTTTCTATCTAGAAATATTTCTCTTGTTTTTCCAGTATCTCTTTCCCATAATTTCTGGACAATAATCTACTTTTTTTTTTTACTCTTAAAAACAATTACAATAAAGACATAGCAAGTGAACAACTTAATAGCATATAAATGTGAGTGAGACAAAAAAGGATATAGGTATTGTCTGTGGCTCTGTTAGGGAAGGGATGTTGCTGATCTCTGTGAGAGGTGCATATTCCAATGCTCACTATGACTCACCTGTTTTTCCCTCTGTTTCTTACAGCCAGATGGCATGAAACAGTAAAGGCCAAATAATTCATCATTCTACAGACTTGCGATGGACTGGCCCCCAGAAAAATCCACAATGGTTGAAAATCTTTTCATGTGCTGCAGGTAAGACAGTTCCTTCATTTGTAACATTGCAGAGTTGGGTTTCTAAATGCTGCAGTGAAATGTAAACTGCTAATAAAATCCTGGTCTTGACAGGTAAAAGTCACTCTTTTCTGGAACTGTTTTATAAACCTTTTACTTTATGCTTCACAACATAGCAGTGTTTCTTTAAAAAGAATACCATCACAAGCACCCTACAGCTAAACCATGAAGAACAGTTAATTGCCCTTCAACTAAAATAACTCCATGAGCAATCAATCGATGAAGAACTGAGAGTAGCACTATTTGTCAGTCATCTGCAGCCAGCTGACTCTTTGGAGGCCACCACTGCTGCCTTCATTGGATTATTGGGTCACAAATAGACCCAATAATCAGCCCAGCCATTCACATGCAACACAGCAACTACATGACACGTGTTGTGCTCATTCCTCCAGATTGTTGTCATATGGCTGTTGATTGTGCATGACAAACACATGAAAAAGCCATTTCTCAGGCTTGATGATCCAGTCTGCCCAGGCTTGGTTTGGTGGCCAGTTGAATGACATGAAAAGTTGCAGCTGGAGGTGACAGGATGGGAAGAATGATAGAAATTCTAATGAGTATTCTTACAAATCCCCAGGAGACAGCTCATGCTGGGGCACCCAGCTCAGGTGCTTGTGAAATCAGCTGTTATTTCATGTAAGCCCAATAGTTGTGGTGTTATTTGTATTATTTTAATTCTTTTGTTTCAAGCTGATGACCAGTTTGGAGGTTACTGAGTTGCCTGTGCTACATGATGGTGCTAGACATGGTCTTGATGAAGTCCTGTTTATTTATGAAGCATGAAAAAGTCTTCTTTCCTAGAATGCTGGGTTAAGTAAAGCTCAGACTTTGCACAGTGCTTTGACCAAGGCCAGTGTTTTGACAAATATAACCAGCAAAAGCGCACTCTCAAAGTTTCCTCTTGCATCAGCAGACACAAAAAGGCATTTTCCTTTCTCCCTCTGTCCCTGACATGTGCACGTGTTTGGGTTTTATCTCTCACACAAACACAAAGCTCCAGATTTCAAATGCCCTTTTTGCACTTTCTGTGTCAGCCTCAAGGGAAGCCATGCGAATAATGCGCAATGTACAGAAGCTTTGCTATGTGCCTGTCATTGTTTCAGCTCTCTGATTCTAGAGAGATATTTGTTAGTCTTTTTGTGCTTATTTTAAGGAACAGTTATGGTTACCCACCAATTTCTGTGAATTTCCATGAAACGGATCTTCATTCCAGCTTAGCAAGACATTCACACCAGTAATTTGAACACTGGTTTTACCTAAACATTTCCAATAACACATTTTGAGGGTGCATCATTCTTTTTAGGGTCTTCATATTTCCTTGTTCTGAAAACCAGCCTTCCTCCCTGGTATATTGAGCACATATGCTTGCTGCCTGGACTGGTTTTGTACATTTTATCTTTGTATTTATTTCCTTGTGTGAAAATGGGCATTTTGAACAATAGGATACCATGTGTGGCACATGGTGAGATCTGAAAGCCTTAATTTTAAAAACAATTACATCCTAAATGCATCTGTCAAGCAAGTGGAAAACCTCTGTGTCAAGTAGGGCTGACAAAAGAGATGAAGATGTAATTGCTTCTGGTTTAGTCTATTTTCTTCATGAGGTTTAAAGCCTTTCCTGGTGGTCCTTGGGTGGTTCCCTGCATCCCACTGACTTGCTCCAATGGACTGAATAAATCATTTTATCTTTGTGCACAGATAATGGCAGTTTTTACCTCCACTGGGTGTCAAGAGGCCAATGTGCAGAGTGTATGTCAACTACAAGAAGTTGCTTATTATGGTCATTGCAGGCAAAATGCCAGGAGCTGCTAATTGGACAAAATGGAGAAACACAGGATGTCACCACTCTAAAGATGCTAAATCTTTTAGCTGTGCTGTCCTGTACAAATCTAATGGACTAAGTTCTGCAAAAAAAATGACAATTGATACATGGGGCTGTGAAAACATTCTTTCCTCATGTACCTGGGCCAGTCTTCAACACACTGTTTTTATTTTTTAGTATTAAATGTTGATATCATTTCAGTAGGGGAAGATGGCAATGATGGAGCAGGTTCCCTCCTCGGTGTCATCCAAGCACAGACTTTTTTATTCTTTGATGTACTTCAAAGCATTGTTGTAAGTTGTATGTCTGCAGAAGTTTAAAACTCTTCTTGAGACAGGATCTGAGCAATTATTTCTGCTGTTCTGCAGGAATGTGAACACTGACTTCACTGAAATGAAGTTATTTGCTCAGGGTCACATGAGAAAGAAAAACTAATTGCTTTAATTTCAAGTAATATTTTGACTCCCACACTTCTCTTTCCTTAGCATTGTTACCACTAGTAAGTGTTTATTCTGGTATACGGTGAAGTATGTGTAGGTCATAGTTGCTGGCTGTGTGTACAATCTATCATGCCAAGTCATTTCCACTGAGAAAAATAAACATCAAAATAATGGGGGGGGAACCAGAATAAAATGAGCCCCAAAAGGCTGTCAGCTACAAAAATGGGGTTTAACTGTTTATCTGTGAGAGGGTCAAAACTGGTGTGATCTATAAAACCCCTGAACAATAAAGAAGCAATGAAAAAGCAGCTAAACAAGGAAGAAATGTCCTGGCTGGTTGTTGGCAGGAGTGTTATTCACAGAGAACCATCACAGCCCAGCCCTCCTGTGTGACTCAGTGCAAAGGCTGTCTGCAGCCGGTGGGACTGGCTCCCTCTGCTCAATCAGTGGCTTCCTGAACAATGAGGGGAAAAAAATAATGAGAACTATGATGAATAATATCCTTATAAGAATACGAATTTAATTGCTCTAATTGCTTAAACAATGAGTTGTCAAGTGCTTAGTGCAGACTGTAATGCAGGAGAACTGGAGAAGTCAAATTAACAGGTTAATAGTTCCCCTTTGCTTGCATCCTCACATCCCACACTGGGAGCTTCAGATGCTGTCTCCAAACCAGAATAGGAGCAGGAGCTCCTCACAGGATTATGTCATTTATGTGACTTGTTGCATCAGGACAGTAATGGTGGGAGAAAGCGTAATGGGGTTTACATGACTCCCCTGTGCAATTTTAGATTTCTTAGACCAAGCTGCTCATGTGTCCAGAGTAATAGCTGATAAAATCAGAGGAACCACTGATATTTGTATATTGGCGTTATTTGCTTAATCCCCTAAACAGCGAAAGGGAACATTCTCTACAACCCAGCACTGGAAAGTACTTTGCCTTGCAAGTATGTCTCAATTTCTCCTAAGGATCCTAATCCCAAAAGCAAAGCTATCATCTGCCTTCCCAGGACCGCCAACCAATGCAGCTGCAGGGATGGACACAGCCCCTCTGAGCAGGACTGAATCCACAGGTCATGTCGCAGAGGAAGCTAATAGGTAAAAATAGGTGTCTGTAGATAATAAGGCATTGCATCTCATTACCAATTCCCTGAGAAAGCCAACATCCCTCTATCATTCCTCTCAAAAGGATGCTTTCTTATAATTACATATCACTTTATTAGGCAGCTGAAGGAAAGAGCACGTTTGATGCTAATGAAGTGCTGCTGTGGTTGAGTCTGTCACTATTTTTGGAGCCACACATCTCCAGCACTTTTGATTGGGTGAGGGAGGCTTTGGATGTCTCCAGCTTCTGCTGTGGGGGCTGCACAGGGAAAAGCAATGACTCAGCGAGCCAGGACTGCAGAGCTGGTTACATGCTCAGAATGAGAAACGCCGTGGGACAGCGAGAACACACACAAAAGCTCTTTATGTGGTGGAAGGATTTTTCAGGTAGTGGATAGCATTATCTAGATCAAACAATCCTTCTGAATATTCACTTCGTGTCAGTTATCTGCACAGGCCTTGTTTTTCCACTTTTCCACCTATTAGCTCAGAGCATTTCAGAAAAAAAAAGCCAAGATTTCACAGAACTCCAGGGAAATATTTCCAAGGTTAGGAGTGAGACAAGTCACAGCTGTCCACCAGCACCAATCCTGACACAGACAAGGGCTTTACTGGCTCCATTTTCTGCAGCAGAGCTGAGGAGCTGCTCAGGATCATGAAGGCATCATTTAGTGTTAAAATCTGACTTAAGAGCAAGTACCCCTGGGAGCAGGCCTGCTCCCACCCCCCTTTGTGCCAGCACCAGCATTCAGCTAGCCCCACAGTGACTCAGTTCAGGATCCAAACAAGAATATTCATTCCTTCCTCTTCCTCCCCACCTCACAGGGTTGTTACTGGTCACCACTAGTCAAGCAATGTCAGGACAGGGGCAAGGGAGGCACAGGCAGCTCCTGAGACCCTTTCTGCACACCAGGGCCTGTTAAGACAACTAAATTACATTACCACATCACTTCCTGACAGCACTCTGGCAGCCAAAGCCTCCCCTTCTGTAAACAAGGTTAATGGTTCCAAGTATCATTTCATGTCTTCTGATACACAAATGAGGAATGTGTCAGAGTAATCAATAATTATAGCAAATACCGCTGTATCTAAATGCCGTGTTACTCTTAGACTGCCCCACAGGGCTGTGTTGTTACTACAACCTCTCTGTTCCTGGAGGAGGAAGGGATGACTGAAGCACTAGCACCTCTTACCTGTTCTCTTAAGACTGCAACTGTCACCACAGCTTGGTTTGCTACAATTTAGATGTTTACTTGCTGGTTTTGGACTTAAGTGTTTCCATATACGACTTTTACTAAAGTGAGCTTTCTAAGCATATTGGGTTAAGATCTTTTTTTGGTAGAATCAGTAAATGTATCTTGGTCCTGGCAGCGAGATGCACACAACACTTGCGTATCTTCTTAAGAGCTGATTTATGTAAACAGGCAGTCCCACCACTGCAGTAAAAGCTCATGTCAACTAAAGACACCTCTGACTATAACATTATCCATATCCAGCACACAATGTGCCTCATCACAGTCATAGTTACAATGACAAGGAAGAAGAAAGAACACCCTCCTGGAGAAAGTACATCACAGAGAGCCACAGGAGACTTGCATCCAGCCCACAGGCCCAGAGCACTGCACCAAGCAGAGCTTGCTCCCTGGCTCCCTCTGCTGAACCCCACTAACATTTAATGTTATCGAGAGGAAGATGGTGGAAGAGTGGCCAGTTTTGAAGACTTCTGTACTCTGCACCACCAGCCAGCATCAGCTCTGAAGATGACTGTAGCCCCTTGGTGCAGAAATCCATCCAGCTCAGTATTCTGCAGGCATAGGAGATTCTTCAGCAACTCTGGATCACTTCAGTTCTGATTCCTCCTCTCCACCGAGCGTGGCTGGTTTATAACATCGAGACACCCACCTCAGCAAGGTTCTATTACTCCCTTTTCTTGAAGCTGGCATGAATTTGATGAAATCTTTATTCCCTGTCAAGTCTGACCCCGCTGGCTACTTTCAGCTAAAACTTAATAGGAAGACAGATGGTGCCATTACATAAGCCTCGGTTCCTGTCTAAGTCTGGCTGAGGAAGAGCCTGAGTGTGCCAGGTTTGTTAGTCTGTACATCCTCAGTCCTTGTAAGAGAGAGCTACTGCTGCCCCAGCATCTGGTAACTGACCTCAACAGATAAGGAAACCAGACAGGACCTTCTCATCTCACTTTCTGCCAGGTTTTGAGGTAAAAAAAATTGTTGAGACTCTGTAAACAGTTACCCAGATAGGAAAATACCTTCACAGAAACAACTGCCAGAATTTAACTCATTTCTGAGCCTATGGAATAGGGAATGCTTCTTTTACTTTTCAATCACAGCAGATAGTATTTTTCCTGACTGTAAGTGCTACATCCCACATGGATAAAAAAAGAATAGGAAATAAAGATGGGATTTGGGAAGGGACATGCATCAATTTTGTTCTGGTTCTGGGGATAAGTTACTCTGCATGGAGTATTCCCAGTGTTTCCACTTTAAACTGCAAGGCCTAGCTCTAAGAAGTTGTTGTATTTCCTGAACTTTATGTAGTGATTGATGGATCAAAGCTGTTCCTCCCAACCCCACTGTACACCCCCCTTTAGGATGCTCAGGAGTTACCACCTAGCAGTGGTTTGTCACAGAAATCTGATTCTTCACAAGAGATCCTCAAAGCACTGGTTTTGGCACAGCAAGGGTACAGAGAAACCCACCAGCACAGACACTGGGCTGGATTTTATTCTGCAATGGGATGGGAGTCAACCCAGTATTTATCTCCGCTATCCAAAACAAAATCTATTGTTTTTCCTTTGGCCATTTCTACCTTCCCACTTGATTCTGTTAAGAAAGCTGAATTCCTGTTTATACTAAATAGTTTTAAATAGCCCCAACAACTACAAACCAAAACCAACAACCAGAATCTTCACCACTCCAAATTCTAGTCAACTCCATCTAGCCCCTCAGAATTCTGCACCACAAACAGTTTTCCTGCCCATTAAACATGCACTGCAGGACCTGTGCAACACATCCTATCACAGATTGCAATGAAGACAGCAGAGATCCTGGTTTTTCCTTTGAATTTAATGTGGTGCTTTCAGGACAGTTAGAACACCAATTTGTGAGGATAGACTCCATTGGAGAGACAGAATGTAGAACGCAGGTACCCACGGAGCTGAGGCACCTTCTTGATTCGCGCCAGGATCTGGGAATCCACCGCCTTCTGGTCCACCTTGCGCTGCTCCGTTATCTCGTATTTCTAGGAAGTACAAAGAACAAGGTGAAAATCCTGCAGACCCTTCCAAGGAATGAGAAAATTCAGGTCAAATCCCCAGTTCTGGCATTTTCAAGGAACCTTGTCTCCATTTGTTCTAAATAAGGCGGCAGGAGACCGGAGGTGGCAGGGAAAACTGGAGCCACTCTCTGGCTCCTGCTGCTGATACTGGAGCCAGCAACACACTGTT